CCTAGAAGCAAATATTACTCTAGTACCAAAACCTGAGAAGGACCAACTGAAAAAGAGAACTATAGACCAATCTCCCTAGTGAACACAGATGCAAAAATCCTCAATAAAATATTGGCAAATAGGATGCAGCAAATCATCAAGAAGATCATACACCATGACCAAGTGGGATTCATCCCAGGCATGCAGGGATGTTTCAACATATGTAAATCAATAAATGTAATCCACCGTATCAATAGAGCCAAAAGTAAGAATCACATGATCATTTCTATAGATGCAGAAAAAGCTTCTGATAAGGTCCAACATTCATTTATGATAAGAACATTGCAGAAAATTGGAATTGGAATACATGGTCTTTACCTCAACATAATAAAGGCCATCTATGACAAACCAACAGCCAGTATCATACTAAACGGCCAAAAATTGAAGACCTTTACTTTAAAATCAAGCACAAGACAAGAATGTCCCTTATCACTGCTCATATTTAATATAGTACTGGAAATACTAGCCAGAGCAATTAGACAAGAGAGAGAAATTAAAGGTGTAAAGATAGGAAAAGAAGAAGTTAAGTTATTATTATTTGCAGATGACATGATACTCTACATAGAAGACCCCCAAAGCTCCATTGAAAGACTCCTAGATATAATAAATAAATTCAGCAATGTGGCTGGATACAAAATCAATACTCAAAAAATCAATAGCATTCCTAAACACTAACAACAAAATCTCAGAGAGGGAAATAAGAGAAGCCACACCCTTCACACGAGCAACCAAAAAATGAAATATTTAGTAATTACTCTTATGAAAGACACGAATGACCTATCCAGGGAAAATTATAATACACTGAAAAATGAAATTTAAGATGATCTCAGAAAATGGAAACACATCCCTTGCTCATGGGTAGGAAGAATAAATATTGTGAAAATGGCCATTCTCCCAAAACTGTTACACAGATTCAATGCAATCCTGATAATAATGCCATCAACATATTTTATAGATCTTGAGAAATCACTCCTAAAATTCATGTGGAGCGAGAAGAGACCTAGAATAGCAAGGACAGTTCTAAGCAGCAAAGGCAAGGCAGAAGGCATCACAATCTCTGACTTGAAGTTATACTACAAAGCAACTGTAGTAAAATCAACATGGTACTGGAACCAAAACAGAGCCGAAGATCAGTGGAATAGATTAGGAGATTCAACCACAACTACAAACACACTCAATCACCTTATCTTTGATAAAGGGGCCAAACATGTTCACTGGAAGAACGACAGTCTCTTTAATAAATGGTTTTGGAAAAACTGGCTCTCCATATGCCGTAAACTAAAACTAGATTCATGCCTATCACCATGTACTAAAATAAAATCTAAATGGATCAAAGATCTAAATATTAAAACAGAAACACTAGATCTATTGGAAGACAAATTGGGTAAAAACCTTGAAGACATAGGGGAGGTAGAGAATTCATGAACAAGACTCAAACCGCAGGGGAAATACTTCCCACAGTCAATAATTGGGATCACCTCTTATTAAAAAGTTTTTGCATGTCAAAAGAAATCTCCAACATAGTGAAAAGAAAACCCACAAACTGGGAAAAAATCTTAGTGAGCTGCCCCTCAGACAAAGGACTTCTGTCTAAAACATATAAAGAATTAAAAAAAAATCAGACCCCCAAAATTCAAAGACCCAATCCAAAAATGAGCATCTGAGATGAATAAACAATTCTCAGATGAAGAAATACAAATGGCAAATAAATACATGAAAAAATGTTCATCATCATTAGTCATTAGAGAAATGCCAATTAAAACCACACTGAGATTCCATCTCACTCCTGAAAGAATGGTCAGGATCAAGACAACCACCAACAACAAATGCTGGAGAGGCTGCGGGGGAAAAAGGAACTCTCCTGCAAACTGGTGCAACCATTGTGCGGTCAGTCTGGAGATTTCCAGAAAGCTGGGATTGGAAGCCCCTTCCATTCCTAGGCATATTCCCAGAAGAACTGAAAGCATCATACCACAGTGATATATGTGCACCCATGTTTATAGCAGCACAATTTATAATAGCCAGATCTTTGAAACAGCCTAAGTATCCATCAACTGAGGAGTGGATAAAAAGTTGTGGTATTTTTATACAATGGAGTACTACTCAGCTATAAAGAATGATCACATTGAGATATTTATAAATAAATGGATGCAGCTTGAGACCATACTCATAAGTGAGATAAAGCAAACTCACATGTGTAAATACCAAATAGTTTCCCTAGTGTAAGAAATGATAACAATATATAAAAGTATGTGGTAATCATGATTCCCAATCATACTGGCTTGAAGCCATATAATGTTTTCACTCATTAATTGGAATGGTTTTAATCTGGGTTGTTTGATTTTATTGTCTGTGATAGTACAAATAGCAATTTTGGAGAAAACAAGACATCATAATTGCTAGTGCTGATTTAATATCATCTTGCCTTGAAGCTCCATCAAGCTGTTATTCGTTGGTTTCCATGGGTTTTAGCATGTTGTGTCTTATTATATTTTACTATATGTGATAGTATAAACAAAATTTTTTGTAGGCAAAGAGATAATATAGAAACTGTTGTTTGTTTTCTGTTAGCTGGTTCTAAATACCCTGTAATTCTTACATTCTCTTGAATGGCTTCACACTGTCTTAATATGTTTGATGCTATAGTATATGAAGTTATACTCAAATAATTCAAGAAAAGAGACACTATGGTGACTACTATTATTTCAGGTTATCTGGTGGTGAAACACAATGATGCTTAAATTGTTCAGTTCTGACCTGTGTTGTTCTGTTACTATGTCCTCTTTTATCTCAATCTCCCACTTTTTAAAATTAATTTATTTTTTCTTGTTTTTTAATTAAGGGAAAACTAAATTAAAAAATAGTGGGACATATTACAGTAACGTTTTTGTTTTCCTATTAACCTGATTCGAACCCCAGTATTGCTTTCCCCATCTTGTTCTGTCTCATTTTACTATATTCTGTTTTGTTTGATAGTAAGTTTGAGGGTATAGGCAGCCACTTTAAAGGCAGTAAGATTTACTATGGTGCCCATTATGGTTTGAGTATTGTCTTCTTTTGAAGTCCTGTAAGGTCTCCAGTGTAGGTTTTATTGGTCTTTTTCTGTACTGTTTTGTTCAATTCTATTATACCTGATGATATGGGCAACTCTTTTCAAGATAGCAAGAGGCATAATGGTAATCATTTTTGATCACCTGGTATTTTATTTTTGCATCATATACTATTTCCATCCTTCTGTTCTGACTCTGTTTTGTTTTGTCACATTTGATTTTATTCTCTTCAAAAAAAGGTAATAAGAACTATGGGAGTAATAAAATCCAAAAAGTGTAATTGTTGTTGTAAAAAGAGAGGAAAAGAAAGTGGCCTAAAGGATATAACTGCATGTATATTTAAGTGTGTAGGATAGAAAACTATATTACTGAGTTTTTGTTGGATCATTGAACAGAACTGGCTGCAATCTCACTGTATAAATGTCCACTTTGTATGATTTAATTGTGTAATTTGGACAACTGTTTCTAAGATGACAACTTAATTAGCGATTTCTTACTGTATATTTTTTTCTTGAAATTCTGTACTACTTGTACCCTTTTACTGCTTTGTTTTTTTCTCTTTTTAAATAAAAAAGAATTAAAAACATCATACTACCACGATATACGTGCACCCATGTTTATATCAGCACAATTTCTAATAGCTAATCTTGGAAACAACCTAAATACTTATCAACTGAGGAATGGATAGAAAAGATATTTAAAAAAAAATGTAATGAAGTAGTAGTCATAAAGAAAGAAAACTTGAGACTTTTATAAGAAAATGGGTGCTGCTTGAAACCATGCTCATAAGTAAAATAAATCAGACCCACAAGTGCAAACATCGCATTGACTCACTAGTGTGAGATCTGGAAAAGGAAACAAGATCCAAGATCTACAACAGAAGAGCCAGTATAGGACGGCAAGAGTGTGGTGGGGCACAACTATAATTTCAGCACCCAGGAGGCTAAGGCAGGAAGATTATTGAGTTCAAGGCCAATCTGGGCTAAGACATCCTGTCTCAAAAAACAAAAACAAAAGCAACCAAAGTATAATAAAATAGAAAGCAAAATAATTCATATCTCTTAGGATGGGGATGCAGGACAATTAGATCAGTTAGTAGAGATAGCAGGGCCGAGTCACACATGGCCTGCTTTGCAAGGATGAATCCTTCGTCTATAAAATTTTGAAGAAGTTCTGAGAGAGAGCTACTGACCAATTTGTGCATGGATGTCAACATCTTACCAAGCAGGATGGTAGAACTTCTACACAAACTGAACCCCAGCACTGGGGGTAGCACTTTCTCCTGTCTGGTGGCAGTAGAGGAAAGGAAGGCTTCGCTACATCCCCAATTACTCCTCAATCTACAGTCCCAAATTCACCTTGAAAAAGTTTCCTTCTGCAGTGGGGTGGCCTGCATGAGGCCAGCCCAGGGCCTCACCAAATCCATGCTGGGCAGAGGCAGCATCTGTGCTCAGCTCACTCACAATGGCCCAGGAGGGCAACTTCATTTCTCTATTTGCAGACGAGGAAGCAGGGGCCTGCAGAGTCTGCTCCTTGTTCCCCTCTCCCACTCCCAGCTTGTCCTTTTCTGAGAGGGGAGATGAAAACCCATCCTGTGCCAACAGCATGAGGAGCAGTTCCCAGCATCACCAGAAGCTCACTCACCCACACACAGCCTGTAGCAGAGTCTCCTCCCAGACCAAGGAGAAACCTGAAGCACAGTTCAGGAAATCCCAAGTCTGTACAAAGTCATAGGTGATCCTACCCACCATCAAAGGCTTCATGCAGAACCAAGCTGGCTCTGAGGGTCTGGACTCTCAGCATAGCACAGCCTCTAGAGGGTCGCCACTATCAATGCACTGTGCGCACGTGGTGTGGCTACTCTGCCCCAGCCAGAAGCCCATGGGTCCGGCCTTCCCCAGACAGCCTTACCCAGGAGCAAATAGCATGAGAGCCAGAAAAGGACGGCAAGATTTTGTAGCCAGCGCTCCCAAGGCACTAACAGAGGCACAAACTCCACCATGCTGGCCAAGCTCAGGCTGTAAAGGCTCTGTTGAGCTGCAGGCTGTGTGAGCCCATTAAAAATAGGGCCTTATGCTGTCTGGTCCCGCCCACTGGTGACACCTCTGGCCATGCCCAGGCAGGGCCCAATTTCCTACAAGAAACTTTTGAGTCTACGCCCCGGGGCCTGGCTAAAAAAAGGAGAACAAAAAGGAGCAGTCCAACCCTTATCAGCCTCCTTCCTAATGCCTTATCTACAGGGGTCACTTCTTTGCTCTTCTAAACAACTTGGCAAAAAAACAAAAAAACAAAAAACCAAAAAACCCAACAACTTGGCAGGTGATGCCCAGGCATGGCACAGTCCCTTCTGCTCAGTTACCTTTTTTAGCTTGTTTCCTCTCTCCTGTGTCCCTTTTCCCCTCCAAGAACATACCACAATAGCTTTCATCTAGAAATCTCCAAGCACACCATCTCCTCCACCTGCTAACCACTTCTTTGCTCACTGCCCAGCAAAACTTTTAGAAGGGCTTTCTGTGCTCTTGCTTTTCCAAGCTCACTTCCCATCTGTCCCCTCCTACTCCACACTGGTGTGTTTTGTACTTATGGTACTGTTTTGACAGATAAAAATGAAAACAGAAGCTCTTTGAGACATGGGCTTCCAAACAATTCCAACCTCCTGATGAAAATCAGTGGATGCTTATTTTAACAAAGGTGTTTGAAAGGTTCGTGCCCTAGTAGAAATTACTGTACAATCATGGAGTGGTCTAACATGACGGAAGGCCAAAGTTGGAACACTTACCCCTTTCTGCTTCTTCTTCATCCCTAATTGCAACTCTCCTTTCTGTTCACAGGCACAGAGAATTCCAATCAGTTCCTCACTTGTTATCAATATCCGCTCCATGTGCCACTTCAATCCAGGGTCATATAACTCTGTGCCCCTTCTGTATCTGGTCAAAGGAGACAGCCCTGCCGCCATGGGTTGTGTGCTCCTTCCCACATCCTCAAATCAATAAACCTGTTACTTTTGTAGTTTTACTTGTCTGTTGTACCAGAATATTCTAACATTATTGTGCCATTGATTCGGATCCCAGCGTGTGTTAGCTCCTGGGAATCACTCCCAGTTTGAGCTACCCTGCCAATGAACGGTCTTCTTTTTCCTGGACTGTTTACTTGCCACTGTGATCCACATGCAACAGCGAGCTTTCTCATTCCTCACAGTTGAGAGTTTTCTGTTTCCATTCCTAAAATTTGCAAGCTTGTGTCAGAAAACCTATGCATTGCCATTCATGAACAGAGGTAGCAGTTTTCACCTGCTTTAGGCCATACAGCCTGAGGCAAAACTGTTACCTTTGTTTCCTGAGAACTCGCCTCTCACTTTTGGTGATGCACTCTTTGGTGACTGCAGGGGAGAACCCTAATGGGTGTTGGGACTTTCCCTGTCATGCTTTTAAAACAGATGAAGACTTCTTTTGATAGGTGTGATTCAGGACAGGTTGTACATTCCTTGTAGGAGAGCTAAAGTTCTTATGTCCTGAAGCAAATTTGTTCTCTCAGCTCGCCTATAATTTGGTTATGGGGACCATTGCCTATCTCCCAAAACACACTTCTGAGGTGCATGGTTCATAAGCTTGGTGCTCTTGGCCTGGAAAAGACTATAAAAATCAAAAAAGCAGATATTTTATTTACACTTTTGTCATAATGGTGGCAAGTTGGCAGAAATCCTTTATTTTTAGGCCTTTTTCACTTCGAGGATGTGTCTTTCTCTCACTCTGTCTTGAATGATGGCCCAAATACTTCTGGCTTGCTCTTCTCCACCAGGAACTCTCCCTTCCTCCCCACTAGACCCTTTAGATGATCCATCCCCAGTCTTACAGCTCCTCCCTGTTTCTCCAAGACCAAATCCTGCAGCTTTCTCAGCCAGAGATTTCTGTGCCCCCTGTGCCATCCTCCTCCATTTCCTCACTCCCAGTGGCCTTTAATCCTGCCCTTAGTTTCTCTCTCCAGTCTCAGATTTCCTGATCCCCTCCACCTGAGCCATTTGTTCCACTGAATGGCTATTCTTCTTTGTCCCCTGCTCCTGCATTGCCATTCTCCCCACTGGCTCACCATACTTGGTTTTGTGCATTTCAGCCACCTAGCAGGCCACGTGGCATTTGACCGCCAATTTGTGATCCCATACCACATGTTCTCCAGCATCCATCTTACTGTAGTTCACATGGAGGACAGCCGCCATCTTGCAGCCCTCTGCCAACTGAGAGTGTGCTGCTATCTTGCAACAGGTCACAGGGTAAATAGCCACCATCTGTGGTCCCTTGTCATGAGACGAGCAACAGTTATCTAATTGTGGGTCTCATGGTTATTGTACTCTATTTAAAGAACAGGGCCCCATGATGAAAAACGGGGCAAGACCCCAAGATGACAAACGGGGCAAGACATCTTTTTTAAAAGAAGCGCTTTTATTTTAGCTGGCCCAGCGACACAGTGCAGATGGAATTTGCAAAGCTGTGCAACTGAGTTAGAGTTTTGACTGATTTTTATAGTTCATTTATGATTAGCTCATTGATCATTAAGTACATAGTGATGAGAAACAGAAATAAGGGGAGGCCTTTGTTCCCCTTTGCTTGAGGGCAGAGGCATTTCACAGTGGGTGGTTAGCCAATTCATAGCCCTTGGTCTGCCAATTCCAGGAACATTTGTCTCTCATAAAGGGAACAATGGTTGACATAGCATCATTTGTCTCTTACAAGGGTAACAAAAGTTGACATTGCACACAGGTCACTAAGGTGGGGGGGATGACGCATTACAGAACAGCAGAACGAGGCGGTCAGTTAATTTATAACTATGTGGTTGGTGCTTGGTTACTAGGGTAATGAGCTCAGTACAGAATGACAATATTACTAATAACTACCCTTTTAAGTAACTATTTTTGTTAATTATCTTTTAATCAATTATTTTAATTTTTAGCATCTTAGTATAACAATGGTAATCTGTCACCATCTTGTATTTCTCTGTCACATGGTGACTAGTGGCCATTTGTGGTTTTTGCCCACAGATGCCTGCTGGGCAATTGGCTGCTCAGTGGCCATCTACACCTCTCACTCCACAGCCTTCTCAGCCTCAAGCCCTATTCCTGTTTCAACAACAGGCTGATCCTAAGGGACTAGTTCATATTCATGTTCGTTTTTCCCCTTGCTGGCCTATCTCAGAGTAACCGTAAATTTGGTTCCTTTTCTGCTATTCTTACTTCAAAAGATCTCTGTTAATTAATCTACAAAAAGGTTCACACTAGTGTATTTATTATAGTTCAAATTGGCCAAATATATTTGAGTGCACTCTGACTTTGTAAGATGTTTGTCAGTCTATATATCTGTGTCTGTTTGTCCAGTCTGTTTACAGATCATCTGTCCATGTTTGGGTTAAGATAAAAATGCCTGCTATCTACTGAGGACCACTAGTTAAAAGCTCTGCAGAGTATCTCTCATTGCCATTCTATGACTTCAACCCCCTTCAGCTTTAAGAAGCCAGAACGTTTATCACCCATTATCCCTCATGGCACTTTGGGTTCCTTCTTAATAGGAGAAATGCTACAGTCAGCTAAGTCAGTTGAACCTTTTATAGGCAGTCAAACAGGGCTAAGTCCTCAAAGGAGCCAGCACACAGCACCAGAGGTTTTGTGAGTGGAGGGGAGACAGATACCTCCTGCTGTGGGCCAGATCCGAAGACAAAAGGCTAAACTTGGCCCTCAAACCCCACAGAGAGACCGTCTTAATATGGTTTTTTGTGTTTTCAACAATAGAGAAAAAATAACAATCTGATCTTTTAGCAGTGACACTTGGAGCTCTAAGACAGGTAAACCAAGACAAGGTGAAGCTGCCTGAGCCCCTCCTGGACCATGCTTCAGGTGCAACAATAAGGATGCTGGGCAAGAGAATGCCCCTTCTGCAATCTCAGTTGGAAGAGAGACTGTCATAGCTGTCAGTAGTGGGTAAGCCATCCTCTAAATCCTTGCCCTCACAAGAGATCTTGTCACCACTGCATTCATCACTGGTAATCTACTTGGACTTGCTGCTGTGGATTGATGGGACTTGGAGCTCAGCTCACAGCCCCCATAAGGTATCATTCTCTGAGCCCAAGTCTCACTGGAGGTCTCAGGTAAATCATTCTTTGTACTTGTAGACACAGAGGACATATACAATATTCTTCCTGAGGTTTCAGGCCTCAGTCTCTGTAGTGGGTGTTGATGGCCAACCTACACAACCTCTACAGGCAGGGCCTATTCCATGCAGGTTCCAGACTCTCTTATTTACACCTAGCTTTCTAATTATTTCCAACATATCCCACACCCCTTTTTTGTGAAGATCGTCTTCAAAATCTTAACTTCTCCTTTACCTTCTCCCTCCCCACAGCTCTATCCTCCAAAGACCCTCACAATGTGCTGCAAAGCCATCCCCTTCTCTTCCTTTTTCTCTGGTCAATCCCATAGTTTGCTATACCTCCAACCCACCCTGCCATTCTATCCATGCCATGCCTATTTTAATTTGTCTCAGGGATCCTTCAATTTTTCCTAGCATTCCCAATATGCTAGAGCTCCTAAACATTTATGAGGACTTAAACTTATAATCAAACATCCTTTAGACAATGGTTTTCTTAAACCTACCCATTCACACTATAATACTCTCATTCTCCTTACGCAAGCCTAGTGGGTTCTATCATCTGGTACAAGACCTTAGGGTAATTGGTGATGCTGTTACCCCAGTTTACCCAATACTGCCAAACCCTTGTACTATGTTCTCTCATATCTCTCCCTCCACCACTGACTTCATAGTCCTAGACCTTAAAGATTCCTTTTTTTAAAAACCATTCCTCTTACATCCTAATTGTCAGGATTTCTTTATGTTTATGTAGACTGACCAGACACTCTCAGATCTCAATCACTTATACCTGTCATGTCTATATTAGAACCTCTCCACAGGGAAACATACCACCCCCTTCCTTTCTTATTCATCAGTTTCACAGACACACCCCT